GGTTCAACCATTTTATAATTGGACATGAAGAAGGAATTTGTAATTTATTAATTTTTTTCCAAGACTAGGATTTGATATTTTTTCTTCATCAATAATGAATTGCGACCAATAATTTACTTTTGCTAGTAACATTGTATGAATCAAAATAAATATACATGCATATATTATTACTCTCTTCTTTTCAAAATATACATGCTAGTGATCACTGATTTGATATGTTATTCAATTCAATTCTGGTAATTCAAAAAATAACTCGATTCGATTACAAATTATACCTAAAATGGCCAAAATCGGCTAAATGCTTTCTGACCAAATGCTCATTCCTAATTATGGCTCTAAGTAGAGGTGGATCTACAATAAGGGGTAATAGAGCACTTGCTCCACTGATATATTTACCTTTTAATTTATAATTTTTTACATTTTAGTTATATAAGTATGTTAATCTTTACTAAATCTTTAGCTTTTGCCTGGATTGAATTATTATTTTCCTATGTATTGTCCCACTAATTAGATTTTAGATCCGCTTACGACTACTAAGCAAAATTTACCTATAAAATCGAATATTTAAAACTTGAAATTGCACTATTAAAATAATTCTTGAATATCATTCTTGACTTCAAAGTAAAATTATGCTAACAAAAAAAAAAGTCCACATCTTTTAATAAAACTAATTAAATAGTCTTTTACTGTCACTTCTATTAATAAGGTAAATAATCAAAATATTCTATTAAGTTGATGAAAAAATTAAAACACCACGAAATGAATTGTAACGAACCAAATATAATTTATTATTTTGGCTCCAATTCCAATTCTCACTGACAACTGTAAAAGAACCATGTCAAATCGTACAGAATCGAAAAAATTGATTTATAAATATTTTTTAAAATGTTTTTCAAATGTACTATGTTACGTAGTTAACAACAGCCACCATATTTTATCATTCAAAAAAAAAAATCCTTTATTACTATTTACTACTAATAAGAACGTTATATAAATTGAAACTACGTGTCTCACAAAAAGTTAATAATTTTTAACAAAAAAAAAAAAAGACAACTAGGTGTGTTGATCATTATTTCCGTCGGTTGGAGCCACCGGTCAGGTGTTGACGTCCCGATTTAAGACATTCATAGAGCGCACAGACCCCTAAATACTGGTGAAAGATCATGCTCCCTTCCTACAGAATTATGGCGTTGCAGTCTTAATTTATTTAATATTTGAAAAACATCATAATTAGTACATGTATATACAATTTCTTATTATATTCAACTTAAAGTGTGTATATTCTTCTAAAAAAACTTAAAGCGTGTGCATATATAGGTGATATAATATTGTAGATTAATATTATAAAAATCGTATCAAACAAAATTTATATTATTGCTACTTCATGGAATATCAGTTCACAGCACTCATGCCAAAATATCAAAATATGAAGGAAGAAGGAAAAGAAAAGATGTTGACTTCTCGCCTATAATACAGGTGTGAGAATAATAGAAAATTGTAATTGAATGAGATAGATCGAGTGATTATATCGGAGTATGGCCGAAATTCTTATCGGATACATATTTGGAATATCTTTATAATAGACATTTAGAATAAAATCCTTATTAGATAAGTAGAAGATCCTTGTATTCCAATTCAAAGTAGGATTATGATGGATAATCCATTATCCATGGGTTATGGTCCATGACCGAGTTGTTTTATTTTCCGTTGGTAACAAATGTCTTCCCGCTACCAGTGAATCTTTTCTTTAAGTTCATTTTTTGAAAATTATGAACACTTTTAAAGGATTAATATCTTTTGAAATTATTTTCCATATATATTTCTCAAATATTTTTTAGAATGAGATTAGAATTCATAATATTAATACAAAATAGCTACCAATAAGGGATTAATCAATTTTATATCTTATATTATAATGTATTTAAATTATAAGATATTAAATCATAGCAATAAGGATTAATTCAAATTTTATATCTATATTATTGTATTTAAATTATAAGATATTAAATCATAGATATTTTTATATGTTATAGAAATTTCAAAAGATTTCATAGTATTTTTATATGTATAGAAATTTCAAAAGTTTCCTAATTAGAATAAGACTAAATTATTTTTAATGATATTTTTAATTAATCAACTAATAAAATAGCAATAAAATTAAGAGTTTTCTAATTATAATAAGACTAAATTATTCTTCAATCAACCTATAAAATTAAAAGTCTACAGGGGCACTTTAGGAACCCAATGTTCCCATCATTCGCAATTTTATTATATTATAATTAAAATATTGAAATTCTCATGACTATCCATTGAAATATTTAAAACTAAAAAAATAAAAAATAAAAGATATTATCTATATAAATATTAATCTTACAATCTAAATAAAATTTAAACTTTTATTAATAAAATATAAAATAAAAGGGAGCAAGAAAAGAGAAAAGAAAGTGCAATCATAGAAAGGATGCGGCGGATATGAGATAGGTAGTGATAAATAGGCTGAATTTTGGTTATAATTTTAGCAACGGATAAATATTCCGTTGCTAACCCGTTTGTAGAATAACTCTCAGCAATGGAAGAAAAATCAATTCATGTTATAACTTTAGAAACGGAAATAATTAAGTTGTGAAAAAGTTAAAACCCTTTGTGAAGCCTTAGCAACGGAAAAATAATGAAACAAAATTTGTTAATTAATAAAAATAATATGAGTAAGGAAACTAATGTAATCAATCTAATTGAAAATTATTTTATAATTTTAATCGATAAATAAAATTAAAATTTTATTAATTAGAAAGTCCATCTCTTTAAGATATTTCACGATAATGCTATTTTGGATATTTATAAATCTAATTATAAGAACTATAAATAAAAATTATCTATTAATTTGTAAATAGAGAGAGAGAGAGTTAATGTTATACTTACCGCAAGAAAAAAACATAATTGTAAACTCAATAATTTCAAATTAGTAAAAACTTAATATAACAATTCTTGACAGTCAAAAGCAACAAATTTTTTATGGTCAAAGACAAAAAAAACTAAACATATATATAGTAGTATGATAGGAAAAATTCCTAATTAGAATGTGATTAAATTTATAATATTAATACAATATTAATACAATAAAAATAATAAATTGATATTATAATTAGAATATGATTAATAATGATATTTCTGTCAATTTATAAACTTAGTAGAAGCGTTTTAAGAATCCAATGTTCCCCCTCATTCGTACTTTATATATATTAGTCTTTTATGTGACTTGCGTTGTACGTTGACTATGTTTGTTATATACTCATTTTTTTATTTATATAATATTAAAGTACATGTTTTATTTATATTAAAATAAATACAAGTAGTTAATTTGTATTGCAGTTTGCTGTACAAACTACTTACAATGCTATTTCTTATGTACTTAATTCTATTTTTGTATAATGAAGTGGTCTCAGAATGAAATTCAACCCAATCCCTGACCTAATCCTTTAGTCCCTAATTTATAAATGTAGATTTTTAGAATCCTAATAGGTGTCCGAAAATAAAATCAAGCTATCACTCAATCTCTGACCCCTGCCCTCAACCCCAAATTAATATTTATATACAACTATAATGAAAAATAATAATAAATTATTTTTTAATGCTAGGTAAAAGAAAATAAATGAGAGGATGATTTGAATTAATAATGGAAATCACTTTGCCTACAGTAGCAGTATTATTTACCCAGTGTATTAGAGAAAGGAATATATGCACATACACACAAATTCTTAAAACTCAAAAAGTGATCCAAAGAGAACTATATAGTTCTAGTTTTTTTCTAGTTTCCTAAACACTACATTCTTCTAAATCAAATAGACGTAGGATATAAGAGAAAAAATATTAAAAAAATTAAAAAATGCCTAATTATCAATAGACCATCTATTTATTACAAGGGGATATAAATCTCAGACCATCTATTTATTACAAGGGGATATAAATCTCTTACTAAATTAAAATGATAGTAGTTATAAATTATTCAGTAACGAAAAAGAAAATAAAAAATATTATTAAAAATTAAACTCTTTCAAAACTCACTTAACAAAAAAATATTTCAATGTATATAGATATATACATATATCAATAAAATATTATATATTTTTTTAATTAAAATTTTTAACTATTTATCAGGTAAATTTTATTTGAAAATTTACTTTTTAAAAAATATATCCAATGAAATCTTATGAATATAAAGAAAAAATATTAATAATATTTTTTTTTTTATTTTTTCTAAATAAAATATTATATATATAATGAAAATTTATTTTAAAAAAATATAACTCGATCAAACATAAAGAAAAAAGAATATTTAATAAAAATAATATATTTTCTTATTTTATCTATATCCTAAAACAAAATTAAATATTTAATGGAATAAAAATATTAAAAAATATTTTTAATATCTTCAATGTTCATTCTATATCCTAAAAAAATTAAATATTTAATGAATAAAATATAAAAATATTTTTAAATATCTCAATGTCATATATATTTATTAAAAAATAAATTTTCTAAAATGAGAAATATTATTTTAAAATATTTTAAATTTTATTAATGCTATCGAAAATCTCGTTATTCTCTTCCTGCTTGAATATGCATACAGCACACAAGCAAAGATAAATAGAAATAGATAAACAGGTTATAGATTCCACTGAACAAATTCTCGTGCAAATTGGCCTCTATTCTCTTCCTATTCCTAATAAAAAGAAAAATAATTGCCCATATTCCACTCAATTGCTTGACTAAATGGCTCTGTTGTTGATGGTGAAGTGAGTGAAGTGACACTAAATTAGGTGGCCAGAAAATAGCACCCGTTTGTTAAACGGCAACTAGTCAATTTCTTGTTCCGTTTTTCAAGTCACCGACTAAAAAAGAACTTCTCTATTCAATTTCTTCTATATATATATATATACAAATTCCCCTTCCAAGATCAAGACCAAGACGAAGACGGAGACGGAAACGAAGAGCTCTGGAGAATGGGTTGCTGTTTCTCTACCAAATCATCATCGAAGCCAAACAACAACAGAATTCGTGTAGTTCATCTGAATGGCTACGTAGAGGATTTCGAATATCCAATTTCTGCTAGCGAAGTCACTGGTAAAGCCTCTAAACAATTTCTATGCACACCAACTCAACTTTTATCAACTGGTTCTAACCCATTAAACCCAAATACCCAACTTCATCCTGGCCAAATATACTTCTTGCTTCCATACTCTACATTAAAATCTGATTGTTCCCCTATGGATTTTGCCGCTCTGGTAAAGAAACTTTCTTCAATCGCGAAAGCTAGCCATAGTAATAAGTGTTCAACAAGTAGATCAATCTTGAACTGTCACGCTACATGTTCTAATCGGTTCGAGGAGGCAAAGAGAACGGCTAATAAGCCATGGAAGCCAATTCTTGATACCATTAGAGAAAAATCGTTTAATCAGAAGAGCGAATCGGAGGTTTTGAAAGAAATATACATGGAGATGGAAAGTGAAACAGAGTAGTATAATGTATTAATTCTTTTCTTTTTAGTACTAGAAGAGTGGGAACTCCAACTCGAGTTCCGTGTTTATAAGAAGTAGTGTTAGGCTAAGTTTATGTTATAGGCATTGTTGAATTGATTAGAATTGTAGGAGTTGATAAATTAGTGTCTAGCTATTATTCAATAGATACAATAAACTTAACTATTTCATGCTCTATGCTTGATTGATTGTATAATATAATACCTTTCTTTTATACTTAATGGAAAATTCTGCAATTTGCTGTGGAAGCATGTTAAATTTTTATCTTTACTAAGATTTGAATTACCCATTGCTTCTTGTCCAGTGGTAAAAATTTACTGTTGAAGAACGTTGAAAATTTCTTGTCAAATTATTGACTTCGATGTGGGGATAGACTCAATCTTTAGGTGGAAGGGGTCCTGACTCTCGTAAAGTTTTCCTTTGAAATTTCTAATTCAATTTTACTAAGTTTAAGTAGATTTTAGCCGTTGACCAGGCTTGATAACAATGGATAATATAAAGTTTGAATAATTAGCATTTAAAGATTAAAACAGTATTTTATAAAAAATTACTCACGTAATGTTTAATTTTTTATAAAAAATTACTGCTAACAACTACTAAAATAGTTAATTTTACCGAATACATCTTAAAAATTTTCCATTCCTACATTCTGCCCTTCAAAATAGATGAGTCCTTCGAGTTTTAAATGCTGCATTCATCCCGACTTTGATACCAATTGTTAGCATGAAAACCCAATTAAATTTAAGGACATTGTTTTTTCATAGGATTTAAAAGAGAGCATATTTATGATTTTAATCAAATGTGAAACAAACTTTGATCACTTGATGGAATATGTTAATATTAAAGTATGATAAATAGATACATTATAATATTGATTATGTATTATATGGTATCAAAAGGGGACAATAATGGGAGCTGGTGAAACCCATTTTTGAGTAGGTAAGCAATCCCATCCAGCTTCCTTGCTATATGACAAATTGAAATGTTTAGGAACCCAATTTTCTCCTCTTGAGTTTCTCTGTCTCACAAGCTCCCTCTGTTTTTCTTCAATAGCTTTCTTTGCTTGTCTTGCTTTCTCCCAGTCTTTGTTTAGGATGCTTTCACTAACCATACTCCATACTACAGCTGATTCACTGGCCAAAATTCCCTGTTAAAAGCAAAATCAGTTACATGCTTTTCCTTGTGTCTGTGACATTCCCATAATATTAATATTAAAATAAAATTGAGGTAAAGTACCTGAGGATCCTTAACTATTGGGGTTTTAAGCACTGAGATCGCTTCTTTTGCATTGTATATGGCCGTCTCTTTCCCATCATTGATGTCCTTAACTGTTACAATGCTGCAATACAAAATACGGTGATCATTACTTTTTTTTTTTTTATTATTCATTAAAAGAATTAATACATTCAAATAACGGCATAAGTTATATAATATGGGTAAATATCTTTTCGGCATAAAAGTTTATAGAAAGTCTTACTGTCAAGATAACTCAAACCTTAGATCTCCGACTCTCTATATTAGTGAAACTACGAACAAAACTATCCATGATTGATATGTTAATTAATTGTTTTATTGAAGTTTTGAATTCTACCTAAGCATAGAGATAGTCTAACTTAGTCAAAATCAAACCAAACTAGCCAAAATTGGAAAAAAAATTTAGTTTTTTAAAATACAAATCAACCTGAACTAATTAAATTACATAACTAAATTGAACCGGATTTAGTTCAATTCAATTTGAAATTTTGATTTTGGCCATTTTTTGGACTTATTAGGGTTCAGTTTAGGTCCAGTTTTTTTGTTTTTTAGATTTTTCAATTTGAAAAGTGAAAAATGAACTGCACTAAAAAATTTCAATTTTTTATTAAACCCAAATCTAAACTCAACATCTTAAAAATAAAGTTGAATTAAACCAAAGCAATTAGTTTGATGCAATGTTTTTAATTTAGGCTCTGCTTGTTTCTGTAAAATAACTTGCAGAAAAATATTTTTCATAATTTTCCGTTGTTTGGAGCGTTCAGAAAAATAAGTTAACTGGTTAAAGGAAAATTAGGTCATTTTTTAAGGAAAACAACTTACTATTTTCGAAAGAGTAAAACATTTTTCGGACATTGACAAATCTTATAAATCCATATTTTTTTAATTTATTAATCATCATAATCACTACCACTAGTTACCATTTACCATTGACCATCACCACCGGCTACCACCACTGGCCACCGATAGCCACTACCGGCGTCTTTCATAATTTATATTTTTTTTGCATTCTTTTCATATTTAACAATAATTTTTTAAATTATAAAATTTCTATTATTATATTTAACAATAATTTTTTAAATTATAAAATTTCATATTTATTATTAATATTTTTTATGTCTTATTGAGATAAAAATTTTACATATTTTTAATTAATTTTCCAATATTACAACCAAATAACGGAACATAAGTCATTTTGAAATTAATTTTCAATATTACAACCAAATAACGGAAAATAAGTCATTTGAAAAATATTTTTCAAGAAAAATGTTTTCTATGAAAATATTTTTATGAAATTATTTTCCTTACTTTACAGAAACAAACAGAGTCTTGGTTACTTTTTACTTAATCTAACTAATGCATCATAAGTAAAAAACCAACCGCTAAACTTTATAAAAAAAAAATTAAGGCTAAAAATATTTTCCATGAAAATATATTTCAGTGAATTATTTTCTTATAAGTTATTTTAAGGAAACAAAAAGAATGTTAGTTACTTTTTACTGGATCTAACTGATGCATCATAAGTAAACAACCAACCCCTAGACTTTATAATAATAAAAAAAAAAAGCTTCATTTGATAAGTTATAATATAATATAACCAGATGAATTTTTATTATAATATTTAATTATATTATATTATATTTCATTATAGCTTATCAAAATTATTTGCAAATTTAACTTTACAGCAGTAAAAAGTTGAATTACCTGTTCCAATATCCATTAACCTCATAAAGAGTGTTGCAAGAGGATGATTGGTATATTCTTCCTTTAATTGAATGGGCCCCCCTTCGCCCTAAGAAAGAATTGGTGGAATAAATTAACTCAGCTTCAAGGCCAGTCTCTTGGCATTGGACCTTAACCTTACCAACCCAATCCAGACCAGGTGGAAGAAGTCTGATCAACAGGTTTGGTGAATTCATCACATAAGTTTCTCCATGATTCAACAGCTTTAGTTCCCTTTTTCCACACACCTCAGCTTCCACTTTAGTCCCTACAATAATATATTTGGATTTTGCAAGTATAAGCATTCAAATATTTTGTAAAAAAAATTGAAAGTAAAACACAAAACTATCAAAAATATAAATAATACTTTCTCCGTCTCAAAATATAAATCGTTTTAAAATTATTATTTTATCCTAAAATATAAGTTGCTTTGAGTATTTAAAAAATAATATATGATGATTCCAACGTTACCCTTATTACATTAGATATAATAACTATCTTTATAAGTTACTCTTGATTTTGAAATAAAAAATAATTTTATCAAATTACCTTTGATTTTGTTATAATTTAAGAAAATTAATTGCTTCTTTATTCTAGGGCAAAAATTTTAAACAACTTATATTTCAGAACAGAGGAAATAATACATAAAATTCAAGACAAAAAGATAAAAATCGACTTATGGCAACTTAAAATTATATTTCTTATTTTTTTTCATATTTTTTATTTTTGAATTTTTATTTATAATTATATTATTAGGAAAATGCAAAAATAAAAAATAAACATGTAGTTGAGTTTTCCATTATTTTGGTGGAATTAAATATCTAGAACTATGTGATGGATTTTGATTAATTTGTTATATTAAAATGTGCAGAGATTTATACCATTATAAAAAGTATTTCTAAAATCTTTTGAATAAATATACTATTTTTTTATGAAATTAAAAATAGTAGAAAAAATGAGAAGTGGGCATGAACCTTATGGCATGGAAGAAACGAAGCTTAGAGTGGAAATAGTAGTGAATGCCCTTGTTTGTTATAATAAGAAGTTGAAGTACCATAGAATTTTGGAATTGGATATTGGCACCATATGATCTCTATATTTTCTGTCTCATCCGTTGCATGAAGACCAGAAACTGGTGGGTGATGTGAAACCTGCAAATTAAATTAATAAGTGTAAATAATAAATTTGAATCGAATCAAATCATTCGCTTGATTTATTTTTTGATTTTAACTTGATTTTTAAATAGAATTCAAGTTCTTACCTGTTCGAGTAGAACATTGAGACTTCCTCTGGAGACATGGTGAGTCTCTCCGAGAACAGAGTTGTAAGGAGCAAGACCAAAAACACCAGGACGAGCACAAGCAGAAATGCTCCATCCTATTACTGCTATGAATCTATCAACTGGGTTTCGTGCATTATTGCACTCTCGCAACAAATCTTTATCCACAGAATATACAGATTCACCATAACATTGAAGGTGTGATTTTGGAAGGTTGAAAATAGGTGGTAGCTGAAATTTGTAAATTAAAATGAAAAAAAAAATGTAAATAAATAAATAAATAATGTATTTAAGCTCTAACACAAAATGTGAAGATTAATCATTATGATTAATCATTAATCAAATTGTAATTACCATTATTAACATATACATAGAAATTAAATATAAAAATTGTAAGTAGCTTTAAAATAAGTTATCTAAGTTAAGTTGAGTGTAAATGGGAAGGTTCGGGATAATGCTCCCATAAATTAAGTTTTTTCTGAACAGTGTAATACTAATTAAATAAAATTTTATTTTGCTGATACAAAAAATTAGAAGGATCTTATTATAACTTGTAATTTATTTCTCTTCGTCTTTGTTAGAAAAAATTACAAGTGAAATCAAATTAGTAAGTTTAACCAACTAATAGGACAAATCAAATAGAATATTCAAACCAAAAAAAAAAATATATATATATATATATTGCAATTTGCAAACGAGAAACAATTTATTTGTGATTTTATTTCAAAATTAAATTATAGTCATTAGAAAAAACCAACCTCATAAGAAAATGATACTATTTTATATGACATTGTTATTTCTGTTTCTTATGAGTTTTTGACTTCCTCAATTGACTTTGATACAGGAATGTGAAAATGAGTTATGGCACAGGAATACAATTCGCTTAACACAAAAATTATGTGGATTAAAATTAAATCTAAACGGATTTATGCCATAAAGGAGTAATTCGTATGCGAGTCGAAATAGATTATGTTATGAGTTGACTTATATAACCTGTCTAATCTATCTAATACATTTAATGAAAAATAAAAATGTAATTTCACACACATATATATACACTAAGTAATATTTTATGTATTATACGTGTGCATTTTTTAACATAAGCTACTCGTTTAATTTGTGTTATTTTTATATTTAAATATTATACACGAATATTAAATGGCTCATATTCCACCATGGTCCCGTATCACATGTTAGGTTTGAGACACCAACCCGTTTTACACCCCCATTAGTATGCTCATAATTGCAGCATTGCAGATTGGAATTTATTCTTTGTACATATCTCTACTTCACCTAAAAGAATTGACTGTTGACTGGCATGAGTTAATAAAGCAAACTCTTAATAAAATACTTTTTCTCTTTTAAAATTTAAATCATTTAAAATTATTGCATAAGAATTACGAAAGTAATTAATTCTCTCAAATTATAACAAATTCAAAAGTAATTTAACTAAATTATTCTTTATCTCAAAACCAATAATTACTTATGAAAATATTTATTGTAACTAATATAAGCAAAGATAACATTGAAAAAACATTTATTTATTACTCTTTAAAATATTAAAAACGATTTATATTTTAAAATAAAATAATCATTTAAAAATATCTTATATTTCGAGGATGACAGAGTAGGTTCTAATGGAAGGAAATTGCTACAAGGTGGACATATGCAATTTATTGGATTTAAATCAATGTCAACCACCAAGAAACTTTAACTTGCCTGAAAGCCGTTGAGGTCTGATCCTGGCCGTACATTTCCAAACAGGCTTAAAATTCGACGAACAAGATTAGGAGCCTGATAAACATCTGAGCCGCCTTCTAATGAGAAAGGCTTTGTAAGGACAACTCTCGTTTCCTCCTCACTGTCTTCTTTGACCTGCCACACGTTGTAACGTTATCCTTAATTCAACTCTTTATCAAAATTCAAAGCGACAAACACTTGTTATTAGAATTTTAAAAGTATAAATATAAATAAAAAGTTAAACAAAAATAAATATTAATGAAAATTATTTAAAAAAGAGGATTTTGACAGAAGAAAATAAAATTAGAACCAATATCGATTCCAATGTCCATTTTGCTTCTCTTGCAGAATCCGGATAAGAATTTGAAAGCAAGTCTTGAACAAATTTTTTTTTTTTAAAAAAATGAATTTTAACTTGGAAAATCACAAATTGACCAAATTCCAACAGAATTTATTAAAACTGAAACTAGAAAAATCAATTTCGTTTTTTTTTCTTCAATTTAGAAAATCGAAATTGGTTCATCGTATTTTAGTTTCATTCAGATTGTTCCATGTAATAAAATTATATATTTTTATGTTTATAAAATTTACAGTCATTAATTTGAAAAATATTATTTATAATAAACCATTATACTCCTATGGAGACATTATTTTAAAATTTACAGTCATGTAATAATATTATATATTTAAAATTTAAAATTCATTATTTTGTAAAATAATTATTTAACCTCTAAATTTGAACCAAATAAATAGCTATCACACACACTATAGCTAATTAGCTATTCAATTAATTTAAAAAAAAAAAAAAAAGAAAGAGTAGCTATTCAATTTAACCCTCTATAAGGGCCAATCCAAAAGGTCGGCTATAATATTCCTATGGTAGACTTCAGGCCGTACGGCTATATTAATGAGAGTTTGCCATACCGTAGACTACAGGCCAAGTGGGTATAGAAAGAAGGCCAGGTGAGTTTAATGCGCAGTAAGACTTACTACTCTACTACCTTGAGTCAATAAATCCAGACAATTGGCACAACAAGGCCATACCACTCTGCCAACTACTTTTCCACTTTTTTTTACTAACAAAGGACACAAGAAACTAAAGGTTACAGATTAAATTATCTGTAAAATAGTATTTTCCAGCTTTCAAAATATAAATCATTTAAAATTTTATACAAAAATTAATAAAATAATTAATTTTTCTAAATTATAATAAAATTAAAAATAATTTAATCAAATTATTTTTTACTTTAAAATTTAAAGTGAAATATAAAGATATATAATTACCGTATTTAATATAAATAAAGTTAAAATTGAGAAAAAAAAAATCATTTTATCACTGCATTACTTCAAAATATCTATATTTTGACATAAAACAACCATACTGAGATGGAGATGATTTATATTTTAAAACAGATCGAGTAATTCTATACTTCTTTCTATTAGAAACAAAGTTGGTCAAAATTATAAAATGAGAAAATGAGAGTTAAAGAAAAATCAATTTAAGAAATAAATAATAACTAATCAATCAATTTAGAACCTGTTCGTTAATATTGATTGTTTAAATAGCTGTTAACTGTTATACTAACTGTTAGCTGTTAGCTTTTAACTCGCTATGTGAATTACAAGTGTTCGGTAAAAATATTTATTTAATTAACTGTTTAACTTAAAATGACAAAAAATGACATTAATTGTTTAATTAACTGAATTCAAAGAAAAACAATGGGTATGGTTATCAAAAATTTTTATCACTTTTTGTGGAACGCTAAATGCTAGGATGTTTAATATTTAATAAAAGCTCTCTGAACCTTTGCAAGCTATCATAAATATGTTACAAAATAATATACTACATCTGTTTCATAACACTTGTCACATTATATAAAATAGTATGTTCCAAAATACTTGTCACATTTGTAGTTTCAAGGAGTAACAAATATTTTTTTCATATTTACCCTTTGTATATGACCAATAATTATTACTTCAATTTAATGATTTTCTTAGAAAATTAGTAATAAATTAAAAGTAATACGGTCAGTTTACTCAATAATTTATTGTAACTTAGACAAATTTAATAGTTTTCTTAAATGATATAGAATTTTAAATTTGACAAATATTATGGAGCAGATAGTAATTAATACATATAGAATTTGACTATGTCAAAGCTCTAAAAGACAACATGACCTTAACGTGTAAAACCATGCAATACACTATCTACTAAAGCAGCCAAATAATAATGGTTTCTAATAAATAAATGAGGATTGAAATTTAGTTGTTAGATAGTAGAACTACTGAATTACACTTAATTTATTAGGTTTCCCATCCCCTCATTTATGAGTCCTTTATTTATTTTATTATTAATAAACATGAAATTCGTTTATCAAGTTAATCCTAATATTATTAGTTGATCATTTTCTACCATTAAAGCTAAATCAATTTGAAATTCTATGTTTAAATTAATACCAAATTGAGCCAACTAAAAGTAGTGAAGTAACTTCCTTTGTGCTCCAGATTCTCTCATTATTATAAAAGCTTATATATATATATATATATATTGAGAAAACAAAAAAGACGGCTCTTCTAAGGGAAAAGTTAGTGGAGGATATATATATATATATATACATAAAACAAATGTGTGTGAAACAAACACACCTTTCACAAAGCATCTTAAACCTTTTTAATTACTCTAAGCAACGTTTTTCAAAAGAAAAGTTAAGCACTTCAGCTCTGCCAACTTCACTTCCAATCAAAACCGTAATATATTAAATGCCACCTCTTTTATCTAAAAAGACAACCATACCCTTATTTATAACTATTATTGATATGAATATATCGGATTTCCCGGCTGTTTTCTCATTATTTTAGATATTTTTTGGTATGAATAAGGCAAACAGAAGAAAGACGCCAAAAAAAAAAAACCAAATGAGGAACAAAAAAATTCCCACTAAAACAACGCAATAGAGAAAAAACAGTTCTGACAACCGAAGCAATATGAATATAACCGGAAAACCGGTTTTGTCCTTCAAAACCTCATTTTTCTCGCCGGATATCTGCTATTTTTTTTTAAGGATTAAAAAAAAATGAAAGGAAGAAAGAAAGGAAAGGAAAAGAACTGCTCATCATTCCTGAATTACTAAGAAAAACTGAATCTTATTCTAAAATAGATGAGAATAAAAGTGAAAAGCATCTGCTCTGAAATTCAACATAAAACACGTATTCAATTCGTATGTATGTATGTATAAAGAAATGGATACGTACCATTTTGAAGAGACGAAAGCTTGATTATACGTTGAGATAGAGTGAAGAGGTGCTCTTTTCCGCCTTAGAGATGAGAAATGGATTTGATAGCTCTCTTTGTTGTTTAAAAATGGCGTTCTATGGTGCTCGATAAAAGAGAGAGAGAGAGGGATTTGAAGAGTTGGGTGGTGAGATCAATGACGGATAACTTGTCGTATGAAAGACACAAATTTAAAGGCACGGATCGCAGGTTCTGACGTGGTGTTTTTTTTTTTTTTTTTTTTATACGTTTGAGATTAGAGTGAAGAGGTGCTCTTTTCCGCCTTAGGAGATGGAGAAATGGATTTGATAGCCTCTCTTTGTTGTATTAAAATGCGCCTTCTATGGTGCCAGGATAATAAGAGAAGAGCAGACGGGATTTGAAGAGTCTGTGGTGGTGAGAAATACAATGACGGAAACTTGTCCGTATGAAAAGACACAAACTTTAAAGCACGGGATTCGCAGGTTCTGACTGGTGTTTTTTTTTTTTTTTTTTTTTTTTTTTTTTTCCGCTACTTTTAAATTTTTTTTCTCTTTTAGATATTTTTTTTGCATGACTTCAAAGTTTTAGATTTTGTACTTTTTTTATGAGAGAGCTTTATTGATACTTAATTTATTGTATGTGGAATTTGATTCAAATAAACTTAAAATTTCAAGTTATGATCAATTTATCTTTTTTTGGGTAAAAATATTAAAATATCAAAATTTTCTATTTTTAAAATATTCTCAAAATAAAAAATGTTTGAAAATTAAAAACATAAAAAATAGATTTTCAATCTCATCCTTGAAAATTGACAAAGAAAAGAAAATAAAAATATAAACTATTTTTAATTTTCATATTTTTAATTTTTTAAATTTGTGATTTGAAATATAAAAATTTATGTTCTAAATCGGTTAAAGAAGTTAACTTTAGACTAAGTTAAATATGGAGTAAAAGTTTAAAAGCAAATTCAAAATTTATATAATTTTTTTCTTAAGATTTCACATCATTTCATTTTGAAGACTTTGAAATTTTTTTTTTATTTTGATAAAAAACTTTTAAGCCTAATATCTTAATAATGTAATTTTGAAAAAAATTTAAATCTAGATCAATTATAACATTGTACAACATCTTATTAATGTTAGTTACTGGTCAACCAAATATCATACATGAGCTTATCGAAAATTTGTATGTCAGTGTGACAACTTAACTCTTAATTGCTAAGAGAATTAAAATCTACCTATACATATATATAAAGTCATGCAAATAAGTACAAAATCACGTGACATTGTTTTTTTGGCTGAATAGTGAAAATAACTCCAAACTTTGCGAGTAATTTTAATTATATCATAAATATAATTATTTTTTCTAAATACCTTAAATTTCAATTTTAATTACAATAGCGATTTAATTTCAAATTTTACATAATTTAATGAATAAAATATTATTTTTCGTTTGGACTTACATGGTTAATTGCAATATTAATGAATAAAATTCAAGTTTTTTAAAAAATTCATAAAAAGTCAAGTGAAATAATAAATTTTAATTAGTTGAAGTTATTGTTTTGCCATTTTTTAAGCATGCAATTTTAATTAGGGTTTATTGAAATTATATTTAAGTTAAATCTCTTATAAAAATAGGTTTTATTCATTAAGTATAATTTTATTTTTAAAAAATCATTATTTGTTGTCAATATTATATAAATAAATAAATAATATTTTATTTTTAAGATGAATACATTATTTTTTTTATTTCAATAGTAGGTAAAATTTGAAAATAGCATTTCAATTTAATAATAAAATATTTTTATTTTAATATTTGATATAATTTAAAATTAAAATACTATTGTAATTTAAATTGAAATTTAGGATACCAATATAAGAAAGTTAGATTTACGATTTAAGTTGGGGTTTTTTATTAACTACGTAACTATTGTTTTTTTTTTACTTCATCTCTTCTTTTTATACTTCTTTTTGTTCACACGTGGGAAAAGTGGTTTTGAAGCCAATTGTTTCAATTATGTGAACGTTGAAAATGATTGGACTCGTCCTGCATGTCCAATGTCTTTATTTTCATATGACAAATTCAATTTCGTGTCTAACAATATTAACTTCCATTTGACAAGTTGTCGTCCTATTCGATTGTTGTGGAAAGGAGACCATCAAATAATCCCAATTCAGACAACTGGATTCATTGTTTGGTACTGTTTAAAAGACTTTTGCAGATTCATTGATTAGGATTTGATAGAACTGTTTAAATTTTCAAAAATTGATGATATAAATTAAGAAATTTAATTTTAATTGTATTTCAAAATATATCAATCAGTAGAGTTATTGATAAAAGGAAGAGATTTTGTATATGGGTTAAACATAAAAATGGAGATAAAGAAAGAAGATTTAAAAGTAGAATTGGAGGTTTAACATAAACATATTTTTAAGTGGAAATAAAATTTATATAAAAAATCAAATTTTTAAAAAATTGGGGAGCCAAGTCTCCTAAATTTTCATGTTGTTTTGCCTTGTATATTTCAGCATTTATTATTATTATTTTTTAAAAAAAGGATCAACGTATGTGTTTTTGTAATTAAGCTTAATATTCTTTTTAATTGATTAGCATATTTTTTTATATATTCAGATCCATTAGTGGTGATTTAAAGTTTTGAACATCCAATTGCTATCTCTAAAAAATAAAAAAAACGCTCCTCCCTCTCTCTAAAAGTAAAAGGTTTTGTTTTTCCTTTTCTTTGGGTGGCCGCTGGCAACACATCTTCGGTTGGCGGCAATCTCTCTTGTTTTTTTTTTTTTTTTTTTTTTTTTTTTTTTTTTTTTTTTTTCATCTTTTCTTCTGTTAGTCTATTTTTTTTTTTTTTTTTTTTTTTTTTTTTTTTTTTTTTTTTCATCTTTTCTTCTGTTAGTCTTATTTTAGTATTTTAGTAGTTTTCTTTTCTCTTTTGTTTTGTTGTCCTTTATTGGCCTTGTCCCGGTATGTATTTGCCCTCTTTCTCAAGACAGATCCATGGATTTGCTCTTACTTTTTGGTTTTTAATTACGGTCTTCTGAGCTTTTTAGTTTGAGGCAATCGCTCAAGGAAGGTTTTGACAGCAATTTTCTATGGAAGTGGCTTGTACAAGGGAAATCTGGTGCATTCTCTACATCAATATGAGTTTATGCACTATATCTTATTTGTTAAAGATCAAATCCAAACTTTGAAAAGCTGTCACAAAAGAAGCTTGGCACCATGGTGCATCGGTTGCTAGTGGGTTACTCTCCCTTCCCTTAGACATAGGCTATTTTAACAACCTTGTTTTTCTTCTAAATCAATCTTATATTCTCTTGGTTATACCGGATTACTTTACCTCTTGTATTCTTGTTTTATGATATTAATATATTTTCCTGTTTGTGCAAAAAAAAAAAAAAAGATCTTGAACATTTGATCTAATAAGTAAATTTCCTATAGATGTAGTCCATTTCTGCTAATTCAACCTCTTGTTAGTATATTATAATGTTTCGAGTTAATTAATAGAAATTATGATATTAAGTAATTTTAAGCGGCATAATTTAGTTTAACTAGTTTATGGAGGTGATTATTAATTCGTACCCAATAATTTTGTTAGATGTGCTAGTTTATGCTGGTGATTATTAATTTGTACCCTTTATTAATCTTGATAATTTTTACATTTGCACGTACATTTTTTTCATTATATGTTGCTCGTTGTTCTCACTTGTATTTTAATTTTTGGCCTAATGCATACTTCCTCCCTGAATTTTGACACTTTAATCGTTTGTCAACCTAAACTTTGAGAGGGATCGAATTAGCCCCTTAAATTGATTTTTTTTTTTGTTATTTATTAGCCCCTTGCCAAGCTGGAATAGTAGCGTGTTCATTTAATTTTTAAAGAGAGTGTGAATGCTTCATTATAATCCAACGTGGCAGAACAACAACATTTTGTTGTTGCCTTTCTTTGTCCTATAAGGATCGAAATCCATAATATCAATTAACCACAAATAACTCTTTCCTCCCTCATCTGATTTAGCGATTAGGGTTCATAAGCAAAATGGAATTCAATATGGATCTCCTTATCCCTAATTGCAATTGTGGGCAAATTGCAGTTCTGAAGGTTTCTTGCACAAATGTGAACCCAAGAAGGAGGTTCTTTGAATGCAGGAGACATCAGGTGAATAAATACAAACCTAAGTTAATGTAATCTATGCATTGTGAATTTGGTTAGAATGAGCTATGTTTTTGTAGAAGGCGGGTGCATGTAACTCCTTCCAGTGATTGGATCCACCATTGCCCGAGCATGTGCAACATATGATATTGGGTTTATTGAGGTGTATCAGGGTGTGTGAAGAATAGAGGAAAAAGATGAAGGCACCCCTCCAAATTGCTGCTGGTGTTGGATTGGTTGTTTTTTTGTGGCATTTTGGGATGGCGTGAAGGAATAGCTTATTTGAAAATGATGTGGGTTAGGGAATTTGATGTAGTTATGCTGTGGAAGTACTATTTAGTTATTGTTTGGTTAGGAAGTTGATTTTGGGATCACTATTGTTTTGTGCACTTACCAGATTAGAGAGCTCTTAGCAGATTTTGTAAACAATGCATTTTATGCAATTCAATGAATTGAAGTCCCCTTTTATGTTAATTGGTAAATGTTTCTTTTAACCGATTCTTATTGATTTATGGTTTCTGGTATTGTAATATTGAAGACAGAATGAAGAAAATGAAGAAACACATTCCACATTGAAGAACAAAATCAAGAGCATAATCATGCCATAAATATTGTAGAAATATGCAATTTTAACTGTCAGACAAAAAGGTTATGTGTAGCGCACATTCCTACTAATCCAACAAAATAATGTGGTACTTTCATTGAAGTCTTATAAGTACCACATCCAAAAATAACAAGACCACTTCACAAACTCAAAAAACAAAACCATTCTCTATCTTTTCAGCATCATGGCACTATCTTCTTGGCATTTGGGCAGTTGCTCCCTTGTGAGGCCTTGCATAGCAGTACTTGAATTGCCTGTAGCTGGTGCTTTGAAATGTTGAGCTTGAATATGATGGTTTTGCTTATCAAGTTGTTGTTGCCTCAGCTGTCTTACAGTTCTAACATTTTTCCCCTTCCACTTCAATCTTGGTGCCTTGAATCCCAAATCTCTAGTAATTACTATTGATCTCTTTAGTTGAGTGTTT